CAAACCCCCAAATTATGCTCAGCTAAGTCTTCTGAGTAAAATGACACCCCATATGAATGTCTTTGGCACTATTTCGTGAAGCTACAGTGCCATATAGGAGACCTGTCCTTTACAGTATTCACAGTAGAATTTTGAGAGATGGATTTAATGAGCCTTAGCTTCCATTTGGGGTATTATAACAGTTTGACTGTTCAAAAAACCCCCACAAAGGCCTACCATTTGTAAAAGTAGACACTCCAGGGTATCTTATAAGGTGCATATTGTGCCTTAACATACCCCCATTTTTTCACCAATATATGCCAAAGTATGTGGTAAAAAATTATTTTGTGCATTTTTTACATACGGATTGCATTTTTGCTGGGCGTTTTGTATATTTCATATGTGCCACTAAGTTCAAACCTCCCAAATTATGCTCAGCTAAGTCTTCTGAGTAAAAAGACACCCCCAATGAATGTCTTTGGCACTATTTCGTGAAGCTACAGTGCCATATAGGAGACCAAGCCATATCCGTTTTTACCAAACTTTGAATTTTGACGCTGGGCCTATGTGCAATTTCCAAGCATCTTCGCAGGTTTTAAATTCAAACTACCCCACAAAGGCCTACCATTTCTTAAAGTAGACACCCCAGGGTGTTTCAAAAGGTATATTTTGAACCTTAGCGTGGGATCATTTTTCCGCTAGCTTGTACCAGATGTAGTGGTAATAAGCGTTTTTTCTGCCTTTTTGACATACAAAGTGAGTTTGCACAGTATATTTTGCAAACCTTATGTGTGCTACGACTGTATAATACTTCATATGTTACTCAGCTATGTCGGCTGAGTACAGCAATACCCCCGTATGTACCTTTGCCAGGTATGTGTGGACATCGGAGGGGCACATTTGGGACACAGCCATTCCAGTTTTTTTCAAACTTTGAATTTTTATGCTGTGCCTATGTCCCATTTTAGAGTATTTTACCAGGCTATATAATCCAAATACCCCATAAAGCCATACCATTTCTTAAAGAAGACATCCCAGGGTATTTCAAAATTCATATTTTGAACCTTAGCGTGGGATCATTTTTCCGCTAGCTTGTACCAAGTGTAGTGGTAATAAGCATTTTTTCTGCCTTTTTGACATACAAAGTGAGTTTGTGCAACATATTTTGCAAACCTTATGTGTGCTATGACTGTATAATACTTCATATGTTGCTCAGCTATGTCGGCTGAGTACAGCAATACCCCTGTATGTACCTTTGCCAGGTATATGTGGATGTTGAAGGGGCGCATTTGAAACGCAGCCATTCAGTTTTTTTCTAACTTTGAAGTTTTACGCTGTGTCCATGTTCCAATTTGGAGTAGTTTAGACGGTTGGTTATTGAAACTTCCCCACAAACACATACTATTTATTGAAGAATACACCCTGGGGTAATTCAAAAGGCATATTTTGAACCTTGGCGTGGGATAATTTTTTCTCTAGTTTGTTCCAGGTGTAGTGGTAATGAGCGTTTTTAAAATGTATTTTTTAACTTTTTATAACTTTTTTACTTTTAAAAACTAGTTTTTAAACTTTTGTTTTGCGTATTAATTTTTTTTAAACTTTCCTAAACTTTCTTAAAACTTTTTTACAGATTTAACATTTTTCTAAGCTTTTTTTTTTTACCGTTAACCCCTAACTAGCAGTACGCAGCACTAACAGTAAATTCCCCATTTTCCCATAACTCCCACCCACCCCAGCTAGCAAAATACATAGTTATAAAATATTTTAATTAATTAAATAAATAAATTGAACCCCTGAGGGTTAAAAAATAAATAAAAAGTTAATCCTCAGGGGTTAAAAAAAATTAGATCACAGTATAATACTGTGATCTCTATTTGATCGCTGTAGGCAGTGATCGACTGGCAGGGAAGGGGTTAATTTTTATTTGGACTAGGTAAAGGGTTTTTTTTTTTTTTTTACTTAAACGTTATTAAAACATTTTTTAAGCTTAATTTTTTACTTTTTAAAGGTTATTTTAAAACTTTTTTTAACGTTAACCCCTAGTTAGCCTAACGCCAAATCCCCCAATTCCCCACTAACTTCCACCCACCCCAGCTAGCTAAATATATAATTTAAAAATATTTTAATTAATTAATTAAATAAATTTAACCCCTGAGGGTTAAAAAAAAATGAATTAACCCTCAGGGGTTAAAAAAAAAAATCAGATCATAGTAAAATGTAATCCCTGCCAATTGATCACTGTAGTCATGAATCAATTGGCAGGGAAGGGGTTAATTTTTTATTAAAATGGGTAAGGGGGGGGACTTTAAATTAACTTTATTTTTTTTTCCAGCAGGGGGCAGGATCAGCACTGATCCGGCTCCCTGCACTTCACACAGAACCCGGAAGTGCAGGGAGCCGGTAGGTGAGTATACAGAGCACATGTGCTCGCTCTGACTTGCGGTCAGAGCGAGCACATGTGCTGGGCAGCCTGACCGGGTGCTCCCGGTATGCCTCTAATGCAGAGGCATACCGGAGCACCATTAACCCCGCGATCGCCGCAATAGCGACGATCCGGGGTTAATTTTACCGCGTGACGGACAAGGTCCGTCACTCGTCGTTAAGGGTTTCCCCTGAGTGACGGACCTCGTCCGTCACTCGTCCTTAAGGGGTTAAGTAAAAATGCATCTTCACTATGGAAAAGTATGACTTCAAAGATCAGAATAAATATTTATTTGTCATTGGATAAGTTTTACTGTTGCCTTTACCTTATACATTATGATATTCATGTTGCCAGAAAATAAATTAATTGTTAAAAAAATAAAACTCAGCGATTTTTTCTTTCCGTTTTCCTGTTAAAAATCATATTAAAATATATTTTTACAAAGCAGTGTTAATGATTGATTCTCAAATAGACAAATGTGACCTCAGTATAACTCTGGGAGTTGACAGTAGCATGATACACTTTTATACTGTGTGGCAAGGATAAGAATCCACCCAAGAGACTCAATGTTTAGTTTACCAAGTAAAACATTTTGTAAGTTTCAGAGAAGTATAGGCAACCTGGCTCCTACCTAGTACACAGAAACACGAGTTGTAAAAACAAAGGATAGAAAACACATTTTCTATTTTCTAGTATGATATTATTTGTATAATTAACAATGCAGGAGTATATAATGTATTTTGCTGAGATAATAAATTACAGTTATTCCTGTTATTTTTAGAAGTACATTTTTTTTTTCATTTTAACTAGAGTTGAGTGAACATTAGGTTTTTTGGACCCCGGACCCGAACACAGACATATCACTGTATGTTGGGGTTGGAGTTTGGTGTTCGGCGATTTAATAGCGCGTTTTCAAAGGCTGAAGGGCAGCCAATCATCAAGCATTTGATTCGTGTGCCCTAGTGTGCCTACTAATGGCTGTGATTGGTCAGTGCACCATGTGACCCAAACTCTATAAATAAGCTTGAGTCACGAAGAGCCGCACGCACATGCGGTCTTATTAGTGTAGGGAGAGGATGCTGCTGCTGATCGGGACAACTTAGGAAAGAATTCTGCAAACTAGTACATTAGTGGGGTTGGGTGCACTTCATATCTGAGAGTCAAATAGAAGCTTCAAATACCGTGGTTACATCGAAGTTTTAAAAAGTAATTTTTATTTTGGTGCTAAATAGTACATTGGGGGGGGTAGTACAATAGTGGTGTGCACTTCATATCTGAAAGTCAAATTGGATCGTCAAATTGCTGTCAAATTGCAGTTTTAAAACTTAACTTTTTGGGGTGCTCAAAAGTACAATAGTGGGGTGCACTTCATATCTAAGAGTCAAATAGAAGTGTCTAATAGGGTGCTTACAACGCAGTGGTAAACATTTTAATTGTTTTGCTGCTATAATTAAACCAGTGATCAATAGCTAAGAGGTACTTCAACAGTATTGTAATTCTGGGGCAATACCCTCGCAAGTCAAACTGAGAGGTCAGTTTATAGGCAAAACTGTTGCCTGGATACAATTCTAAAACAATTTCCATATGTCCTTTGCAGACTTTACATGCTGGAAAAACACAGGTGCCAACTGCTGTGGCTTTCTGCAGTGTGCATACCGGCAAGGAGGGCAGGGTTGAGGAGTGGGTGGAAGATGATGTGGAGGATGATGAGGTCCTAGACCACACATGGAATCAAGGTCATGCAAGTGACGTGTGCAGTTTGGAGGAAGAGGTGCTGGTCGCACAGAGGGAGCAGGGTGCAAAAGCAGAGCAGCCGTCCCCTAACGCTCATCGGCATGTATTAGCTCAAGAATTACCAGTTATCCAATTAATACATGTAGCAATCAAAGGATCCATAATAGACTTGAGTGAACCCAAACTGCAAAGTTCGGTTCTTTCCATATTTAACGATCCATTCCTAGTTTCACAGTGAGGTGGGCAGTCCGGTGACCAGGACCCAGACACTGTCTGGGCGGCGGTCGGACGACCGGGACCCAGTATGCCTGATGTTGAAGTTAGGAGTCACAGTGTGGAATGGATTAGCAGGGTCCTGTGCAGGGTAACCGCACGCCCCCGGGTGTTGAGCACCAACGTTTGTGCGGCCACATACCAGAACCCTGATGCAGCTTCAGTAAAAAGAGTACTTGATACCAGAAGCCATCACCAGACTGATCCATAACTTGGAACAGGATGTGACATTCACTGTAGCGGCTGTGCGTGCTTTTGGTGTTGTCACCCTGCTGCTGCTCGCCTGTCTGTGCTGCAGCGTAACTTCGGCCTTCCCGCTCACCACCTCATGAGACTGTGCAAGCAGCAGCAGGCAATAGTGGAGTTTCAGCTGCAGCACGCACGGGGCAGTGGCTCTGCACCAGACTTCCCTCCAATT